CGGTAGATATCCCAATTTCTTCCGCTTCGCTCCTCGTCAGCTGTGGTTTCGCGAGTAGCTGCCGACGCACTCCGACGTTGTGCAGACCACACACGATGCGATCTCGTAGCATTCTGTCCAACGAAGCACCAAAATTGCAGGTGTCCGCTATCTGTCGAATCGCCACGACAAAATCCTTGACCGGTTCGCCGGGCAGCTGATTGCGGGTGAAGAACTTATAAGACTGTGCTATCTCGTTCGGTTGCGGCGAGAAGTGCTGCTTAAGCAAGGCTATCACTTGTGGGTACGAAAGTTCATTCACCTTATCCGGAGCACAACGTCCGCTCAGTACGTCGACGGTGTGGGTGGACAGTGCAGTCACCAGCAGGGCCCGCTTCTTGTTGTCTTCCGTGATGCCATTTCCCTCAAAGAAGGCTTCCAGCCGAACCTGGTACGCGGGCCACTTGTCGCTCGCCTCGTCGAACTGCGGCGGGCTGGCGTATCCTCCCGTGGGTGCGGTGGTCATGACGGACGGAGTTGCCTCACCGCTTTCATCCCATCCTCGTCGCCACTGAAACGAACACGCCAGGGCCGTGGCTGGGCCAAGACAAAACCTTTATTGCGATAGCGCGGGTTAATGTAGCGTTGTGCGAGAGGGGTTAAGGGGAAGGGAAGGGAGAAGAAGCAGTGGTGATAACGGCGGCTTCGGCTGGCGTGACGTCACGGATACATCAGGTTGACTACCATCTTAAAAGATTACCTGTCTGAAAGGAAGTTCCGTGTAAGAATAGGTACTGTGTTATCGCGCACATTTCTTCAAGAAAATGGAGTGCCGCAGAGAGGAGTATTAAGCTGCACACTATTTATAGTTAAATTGAACTCTCTTCGCTCTGTTATTCCACCTGCGATATCGTACTCTGTATACGTGGCCGACATTCAAATTAATTTCAAATCGTGTAACTTGACTGCATGCGAACGCCAAATACAGTTAGGTCTTAACTGACTTGCAAAATGGGCTGACGAGAATGGTTTTAAATTTAACACTGACAAGACTACTAGTGTGCTTTTCTCGAGACGACGAGGTGTACATCCTGACCCCTGCATACTAATGAATGGACAAAACATAGTCATCGCGAAAGAACAAAAATTCCTCGGTGTAATTTTTGATTCCAAACTCACCTTCATCCAGCACATAAAACAGCTGAAGTTAAGATGTCTCAAGACCATGAACCTTTTAAAGATTTTATCGCATCAGTCGTGGGGGACAGACAGGCACTGTCTGATATCTCTGTTTCGAAGCCTGGTTCTGTCACGCATAGACTATGGATGCATAGTATATCAGTCAGCTATATCAGGATAGCACTGAAAATGTTGGACCCTGTATACCACCTAGGTATCCGGCTGGCACTTGGTGCCTTCCGTACCAGCCCTATTCAAAGCCTTTATGCAGAGTCAGATCAGTGGCCACTAGACTATCAGCGCACATATCTAGGAGTCAACTATGCAGTTAAGGGGAGATGCTCCTCGAAAAACTTTTTCTTCAGATATTTGTGACAGCTCAATGAAACTTTCACTGGTTATAGAGTTGGAGCTCCTCTTTTCAAATCTGCTTTTATTTTTTTCATGGCTCATTTAGTTAATTTTTTGTAGACCATGCATTTCTAAAAACAATGCATTCTTGTGCAAGCTTAGGCAACAATAGTAAGCACAAGAAAGCTCTAAAAAATAGCCAATGTTGCTCCTAATAAATTGCAGAATTCAATAAAGCAAAGAAACATTGTGTAACATTTGTGTGCTGGCCTAGAAAAAAATTCTAATGCTGAATTTGAGTTTTACCATACTCAAGGAACAAGCTTCTGAAATAATCCAGCTGAATATGCTTTGGAGACCTTTGAAAGTTGTTTATTTGAATTCAGGACATGTTAAACTTTAACTACGCCAAGTTTCATTGCAATCCGACTACGTAAAGTGTACAAATTATAGTGCACAAGCTCTAAAAACGCCAAAAAATAAGGAACTGAGAAAAAGCGGTTTCAAAGTTCAAAAACATGTTTAATACTATACTCTTCAACCAATCTGAATGAAATTCACAGAGAATGTCAGCAAAGCTATCTTGAAAAAGTTGACAGTTTCAGAATAACCCAGCACTATATATTGGACCCTTACAGCCTCTGCAAGTTGTCTCCTCCCGGCGAGCATTTTTTTTTTTTCGGTACTGCGGGGACGGGCCGTTGCTCTTGGGCTCATCCGAGGTTTCGGCAGTGGTATGCACTTTTTTTTTTTGCTAATGGCAGTTCTTGTGACGCATCGGTTTTTTAACACCAATGATTGCACAAAACCTGCACAAGCTGCTCGTGTCCGATGCCGATCGCACGCGGTGCGACCACCGACTTCACGCTCACAGCGAAGCTGTCCTGTGCACTGCTGCTGGCAGACGTTTCCTCGCTTCCACTGCATGACTGATACACGCGGCTTGACGCATATGTGGACGAAACAACAGTTGCAGCACATGCGTCATTTCGGTGCTAAAGTTTCGAAAGCGATGCCAGTCCTTATCGTCTACTTGCCATTACTCAAATAGACAGCTCGCACTGCCCGCAGTTGGAGCATACTACGCCACTGACGAGGTTCTGCATCGCATCGGTCTCACAAATAAATGTGCTTCCGCGTTCGTCTGACATTGCTTTAGTCGACGAACATCTTTATCTTTCACTCTGAAGCGCTGATGAAGTCATCGACGGTAGGAATAAAGCTCGAACAATCCAAATCGGATGCGTCGCTGCTGCCGTGGCTAGGCCTAGCAGCAGACGGACCTCTCGCCGGCGCTCAGTGTTTGCGTTTGGGGTGCCTTCCCTCGTACTGATGCCGCGTAACGAACTTCCGTGAACGAAAGTAGCATTTCTCGCCGGCATCCATGGCGCGGAAATAATAACTCCGGCGGTTGTGTTCGTCGATGTCGCGGCGAAAGCAGGAGAACGAAGAAAGCGCTCGCATCCGGCTGTGCGGCGGAATGCTCGCAACCAATGGCAGGGCTCCGATCATACCACGTGACTTCACAGGCCCAGTCGCTGTGGGAAAACGATCTTTTTGTTGTAATTTTAGCGGGAATGCCGCTTTCGAAACCGGTTCTGAGAGAAGAGGGTTAGGCCTACATGCCTGCGAAATTTCAAGAGCCGGCGATGCCGTAGAGCGAAGTGCTGCGTGCGTGAAAATCGGGTAACTTCGCACTTTCACGAGCCACCGCGAGTTCTTTAATTGTATTTTTCGATAACTTCTAGCTGATTCTCAGCTTTGATTTTTTAATATATTAAAGAGAAGGCTTGGAGAAATACAAAACGCAAGAAAACACAAATTCGACTTTTTCAAAAAAAATCTCGGTTTTTCGACCCGCATCTCCCCTTAAGATCATGTCTCTGAAGCAGCACCCATGTAAAACACTTATGAACGATGTGTCTACTACCCAGTTATACCTAAACAGTCCTTCTATCGCCCCACCGTTTCCATTGGCAATAAGACCTGCAGTAGAAAAACTTGCAATTTTTTTCAATTACTTGGAGGAAAGTGACCATGTCGAAACACATCCCTCCCTGGCAGCAATGTCCAGTCACTTGTGACTGGTCTTTTAAAGACATCATAAAGGAAAATTGTCCAAGTGCACTTATTGAGCAACATTTCTTGGCCCTTGAACACAAATATCGTTCAACCGCGTTCTTCTCTGATGGCTCAAAGTCTCAAACATCTGTATCTTGTGCAGCCTATGGACAAAAGTTCTCGGACACCAGAACCATGCATACACATACCAGCATTTTCACAGCGGAAACCTATGGTATCCTGCTTATTATACAACACATTAAACAACACAAGATACAAAAGTCTATAGTGTACACAGATTCTTTAAGTGTTGTCAGGGCCCTGTCTTGTGGCAAGTACAGCAAGAACCCTACTTTCAACAAGCTTCTTAACGAAATCTATGCAGCCTACAACCTAAAACTTTCTATTGTTATTTGCTGGGTTCCAGGTCATTCTAAAATTGCGGGCAATGAAATAGTGGACAAGAATGCACGAGAAGCCGCTGGTCGGCAAACCATAGATATAACCTCTGTTCCGGGTGTAGATCTAAAACCTGTTGTTTGTAGAGGTCTACGCAACCACTGGCAAGCTGAATGGGACAGAGAAGTCGACAACAAACTCCACCTTGTAAAACCCCAGCTGAGAAAAGTTATCCCCCAAAAACTCAACAGGTTCGCCGAAGTCACTCTAACACGGCTCAGAATAGGCCACACTTATGCCACACATAAACACCTTTTGACAGGCACTGATCCACCTACATGTATACACTGTGGAGAGAGTCTAACCGTTGTGCATGTCCTCATACAATGTCCTGTGCTTCACCAAGCACGACTGACCAATTTCAGGGAGCTCTATTGATATCATATCCCACTTCATCCAGCGCTGTTTTTATCACTTGATGCAGTGGTTGACCTTAAGAGACTTCTTCATTATCTTGGGAAAGTGAAATTTTAACAATGATATCATTCCATCCTAGGCACCAGGCTGCGCCTCAAGTGCGAGGTACCCCCTGGTACATAAAAAGTATGTCTGAGCCTTCGCAGTTCTTGCTCAGGCAAGGACTTCAGCTGCGAGGGTCTTGGGCCTTGCAGACTAATTTATCAGCACAGACTTCAGCCAACAAAATGAATTTTTTTTTAACAAAGTGACATTCTTTCTAAATGCACTGCGTTTTAAATGGTTCGTAGATATTTGTTTTAATTTTTAATCATGTTTTAATCATTTGTTTTAATTTTAAACTAATAACCGAAATGAAACAATACTTGTACTGGCGCTCTTTGGTCTTAGATGCCCTTGCACCAATAAAACTTAACGGATGAAGCCCGGTCACATGAATAAAGAACTAAGTGCGCATGGCAGTATGCTGGTACAAGTGGAATGCACCAGTTGCATGGCACCAAGCTTTCTGTTTGTGCCGTTTGTTTCATCATTTTCGTGGCCTTGCTTGGCAGGTGGAGCGCGCGTACGCCCACTGGAGCCGCATGCCAGGTGTGAGCCTGGTGCTGCAGCTTGGGGACCTGATCGACTTCCACAATGCGGGCTGTGGGCGTGGTCTGGACCGTGTGCTGGCCACCTTGGCCAATGATGGCTCCCTGCCCACCTACCACACGCTGGGCAACCACGAGCTATACAACTGCACAAGGCGCGACCTGGTACGCCGCTACGTCTGCCCACGCCTCCTGCCAAACTGGACGCCTCCCGCCACGGATGATCCCGTATTCTACTACAGGTGAAACACTGTGGCATTTTCAGCAGAGCACTCGCAGGCTTGTTTGACCTATCAATAAGGACACTTACTCTACGGCAAGAAGTTGCCTGGGGACCTTTTTTCCTAGCCTGCACATGACCGTTTTTGCCTTATACGTACAGTGGACTCCCAAATAACGAAACTGGCTTAAGCGAAAATGCCGTATTAAGAGAACTAAATGGGCTCATATGGCTGGATTTCCATGTGTTGCGTAGTAAAATTCATCGGTTATTCGAAACAGTGCTTGCTGGTCACCTACGGTTAAATGGCACGAACTCTAAACACAGCATTGACTCGCTTAGGTCAAAGGTAGTCTCACAACCATGGAAACACTTCGAGACAAGTTAATACAGTAGCCATTCTCGCTTGTGGTGGCTGTAAGAGCCGAGTCACAGCCTCCTAGATTTCCCTTGCCAGCCAGACTATCGGCGGTCACTTGGGAAGTGGCCGTCGTGGGAACTGTGGTGGTGGTGTCATTTAAGTAGAGTTGTCTTCAAATAAGTTTTTACGTTTTTGGAGCTTATATGCAACAAAAATAATGTAAATAGTTTCTAAAAGGCGTAAGCGTAATTAAAATTAACCCTACATAAGTAACACCGTCATAGATGACAGGCGTTCGCCCTCATTCAGCAGGCAACCCCTTCAATACAAGGCATAGTCTCTGAAATCAACAAACGCCAAAATTGCTGATCTCGAAGGCCAAGTACAAAGACCTCTAAGTAGGCGCCGCCGCTTTAGATGACGGGTGTTTTGCCCTCATTCGGCAGGCAAGAAAAATATAGGAGGCTATGGCCGAGTCGGCGAGTCAATTGTGTATTAGGCCTATTTGTGTGGCTAAGTGAGGTAGATCACGGTGTTATTTCAGCTTGATAGAAAGGAAGCGGCCGCACCATGCACTCTCGCTTGAAAAAAAGCTGCAAATTCTTCAGGAGCTTGATCGAAGCGGCCTGCCCAACACGGAGGTGGCGAAAAAATACAGCATCCCGAAATGGACACTGTCGTGTTTCTGCAAAGACAAAAAAAAGATTGAAGGCACTTTAAAGAACAGGATCTTTACATCTAAACGAATGCAGATGCGGGCGATGCCTTATCAACAACACGAAAAAGTTATTTGTTGTGGTTCAAGCGTGCATGGAGTTCGAATTTGCCCATAAGCTGACCAAGAGATGGCCATGCAATTGGGTGTTGAGAACTTCGTCCTAAGCGACGGATGACTTGGCCACTTCAAAACACGCCATGGCCTAGTCTTCAAAGCAATGTCTGGTGAGAGTGCTGCAGTCAACAGGGACATTTGCACCGATTGGCAACAGGCGTGGCTTAAGGAAATTTTGATGGGCTTTGAGCCACGAGACGTCTTCAACGTTAATGACATGAGTCTTTATAAAGTGCTTCCATCAAAGACTCTCACCTTAAAAGGCGAAGCCTGAAGTGGAGGAAAACGCAGTAAAGAACGCATCACTGTGCTGGTGGGTGCAAACATGGGAAGAGATAATAATTGAAGCTGTTGGTAATAGAAAAATCAAGGAACCCACGTTGTTTTAAAGGCGTTCGACACCTTCCCGTTGCATATTATGCGAATGGAAGAGCGTGGATGACCATGGCCTTTTTCGAGAACTGGCTACGGGAGGAAGACGCAAGATTTATGAGGCAAGGCAGGAAGGTTGTCTTCATCGTGGATAATTGCCCAGCCCATGGTCAGGTTGAAAGACTCCAAGCCATGTCTTCGGAGTTCTTGCAGCCAATGCAACGGCAGTGATCTAGCCAATGGATCAAGGAGTTATTCAGAACATTAAAGTTCATTACCACAGACAATCGCTTCATCGAATGCTGCTTTGTGCAGACAGCGGGAAATGCTACAGCATGGATTTATTGGCAGCTATCTACATTTTGGCTCTTGCCTGGGAGCATGTGAAGGCAACAACAGTACACAGATGCTTTCATCATGCAGGCTTTCAAGTGCAAGAAGCAGTACCTGATGAAGAAAGCCCTGCTGATGCCGACATTGAGGCAGTATTCAGTGAGGTCATGCCCTCTGCCCCTTTCACACTGCAGGACTACGAATCAATTGATGAAAATTTTCGTACCTGTCGTAAGAAGACTGTCGAGGAAATGATTGCCGAAGTGCAAGATGAGGATCAACTTTCCAGCGAATAATGTGATGACGATATTGCCAGTGCCGTGGTGCCACCAGACCGATCAGCCAAAGAGGCTGTTAAACTTTTGCAGCGCTATTTTGAGCATGAGGCTTGTTCAGAATATCTGGCTAGTTTGTCAGGCGTAGCTGTGTACTTTGTGACAAAACAACTCAAGCTTGCCAAACAAACCACCCTTCACTCCTTTTTTTCTCCTACTCATCCTCATGAGTAAGGTGAGGTTTGTGCGATTCGAATAAAGTTTTTGATTCACTAAATAAGTGTACTTTGCCTAAATGAAACTTCTGAGAAATGTAACAGTTTTATGGATCCCCTTCGAGTTCCGTTTAGGAGGCGTCGACTGTATTTGCATATTTCCTTATGTATGTTCATGAGCTACAGCGACATTTCTAATTTCAAGCATTTCGTTAGGCACCCCATGTGGCCACCATGTGTTGAAAGTTGACCGTGGAACGAAAGATCTACCATATTTACCAGCATAATTTTCACACCTTTTCTTGGGAAACCGATGAATAGTGGGGGGTGCACAAGGAAAATGTTTTTCAAAAATGTACGAAGCGAAAAACAACAAATGAAGTTGACGCAAATCGAAGTTCTCGGACTAGCAACTTACTACAAGCTGTGAGAAGTACTAGTGAAGGCTTACCTTAACAATAAAGCCACAGATTCAGCACTGGGCAAGGTTTATTTCAGACACAAGATCTGCAGTTTTATAATGCTATATGCCAAGCTTGTAGGCGTTGGGTGAGGGCTCGTCACTCATCGGCTCCTACAGCTTGGGTACGACGTGAACCTTGGAATAGACGCAAGGTACACTAAGAACATGCCGAAACGCGCACTTGCCACTTTGGCATAGCTTGGATTAGATTGAGGCTCCATACATTGACAGTACACGTAATGCTTGATTGTGCTAGCCAAGCAGCTAGCCACACAGCTATCATCTCTATTAAATTACAGTCGACGATCGATTTTCCGGACCCTCAAGGGACCGCAAAAATGTCCGAAAAATCGGGCAGTTCGAAAAAGCAAATGTGCCCCCAAAATGTTCACTTTATTGCTTACTATTGAGCTGGAGGGCGAAAAAAGTGATTTATTTTCTTCTGGACCATGCCTCGCTTCCGTGCGAGCACGTCTGCCTGCATTTCGGCTAAGTTGTCATGCCGCTTTAAGCTGATGAAAGAGTTGCGAGCGCTCGCATCAGCTCAGCTTGCGTCGGCTGTGTTGTTGAAAGTAAGTTGTCGTCCTCATCGTCGCTCTCGAACTCCGCAAGCACTTGGCGAATGAATTCCTTATCCGTTAGGCCAGCGCAAAGTTCTAACTCGCTATCCACACACGCAAACTCTGAAAACGAGACATCTGAGGGAATCTCGACGCCTGCAGTGCGAAGGTCATCGATAAGCTGCTCGCTTTCCGACACCTGGTCGACGACACTGTCCTCATCCAAGGCGGCCGACTCGCCATTCAACACAAATCCCGCGTGGCGGAAACAGTTGCGCAGCATTGTCGATGTCATCGACTTCCACGCATCAGCGACATGTCAAGTACCACAAGCAAATCGACCGAGTACGCTTTTTCGCTGTCGAGGCACACCATCGCTCGACTGACACTTGGAAAGTCCAAAATATCGAACAGCCCGTCTTCAGGTGTCCGAAATTTCAAGCTGCAAAATAAATTGAACTTGTAGGGTATGTTCTGGTGCCAGGTACATGTCCGAATTATCAAGCATGTCCTAAAAATTGGGCGTCCTGAAAATTGGTCGTTTGAAAAATCGGTCGTCGACTGTATTGGATGTTATTTTATGAAGCCAAATTGCAAGAATTTTGTGAAGCCTATGCATACTGGTGATAGAAATTTGTGACACTGTAACGGGTCTTTCAGTTCTCGATTTGGCACATGATGCCGCGAAACAGTACCTTACAGGTACTGTTTCATGTGCAACACTTTTCAAGTATCCATGGAGTGGATTCACTGGAGGAGCTTATTGCCTTTCGAATTCACCCCCGCAAATATTTTTCAAAGCTGTCTAGTATGAGTGGAGTTACAAAGATTTGTCGCACGCTGCAACTGCATCCGCTCGTCTTTCGTCCTGACAAAATCGCTGGAAGCTAAGCAGGAAGGGACGGCACGAGGAAAGAAAATACGTCGCACGTGCCTTAGGACCTGAAGCACTTTTTCTTTTTTCCCTTCCAATACGCAACTTTTCAGTGCCGTTGCGCCCGAGCATGGGAACAAGTCATTGCCTTTCGCGGCGATCTCTGTTGTGTCCCGAGAGTGCCATGTTCCTATTGAATGGCTGTGACAAGTGATTTTGAGCTTGTTTCGTCCCATGTCAAGACAAGAGAAAGCAATTATGAGCTGACTTTGAGAGTTTATTGCGAATTCCAGGCCGCCTTTTGCGTTATAATATTTGGCTTGTGTGTTCTCGGGAGCCTCTACTACTGATCAGCAGCCGTTTCCGACCACGCTCAAAAAGTGTTGTGGGGGCTCTTCAAATGAGGGTAACGTCACTTGGCTTGTTTTCTACGTTCCACATTAGTTTGGATGGCAGCTGTGTTGTTTATTTGGCATTCAACTGTTTTCAACATTGCACATTTATTGCATTAAGTGGGGAGCAGGTTGTTCGATTCAGTAAACATGATACAGTTCAATCTTGATGATACGAATTTGAAGGGATTAGCCAAAATGTTCATATCATCGAAAATTCATATGAATCAAAAACAAGCTAAAGCTGATCGTTAGGATTAACAAGAACTTTATTGGGGTCACGTACTTCTCGTTGAAAGCACGAAAGTTCAAAAGAACATCACAGACTTTTCTTCAGCACCTCTC